AAAACAGCCCTTGCTGAGTTTCTTGCCGGTTCTTCTCAGTAAAAGGTAGTTTTGCGAACCGATGGCGTAGTTTTCGACTTTCACAAGTGCTCTGTAAAAGCCTAAACTGAATAAATAAATTTTGATTTTGATTTACCTAATATCTTCACTTGTTATCCTTTCCGTGGCAGGAACAGAACAGAATGCCACAAGGCAGTCTTTACGTCGGGCGTTCTCTTATTTGAAATTTACGAGTGATTATAGATACTTACCGGATTTTATTTGTGAAATGCGTGCCTTCGCAATCCTCGTTCCTACATCCTTCTTCCACGCCTACAAGTTTATAGTTAATGGGGAAATTTGCAGGTGATAACGGAATGCGACGATGAGATATCGGCGCGCGGTATCGAACTATTGCGCGAGGTGTGCACATGCGTGGGACCGCAATTCTCTGCCGCTCATCACCACGAGGCGTTTCTCACGCAATGCTGTGCGCGTACGCAACGTATGCAGAAGGAAATGGAACAACAAGAAGGTGACTATAACTTTTTAACTAAGTATTACTAGTATAATGGAAACTCTTGAAGTAATTTTTCAGTGTGATAACTCTATGAAAAAGATATGTAGAAAAAACCAGTCCTTGCATCGGCAAGACCATCGTGTCTTGCCGATTGAACAAGGAGCATTAACGAAGTAAAGACATATGTAGTTTTTAAGTTTTTGATAATCTAACTGATTTTTTACATATTTTTAGACTCAACAGAAGGGTGTACTAGAATGTGTAGAGTCTTACGTGCCATACAAGAATATGTTAACGAATGTGATAGAAGGTTTTCTGCAGAGCGACAAATCTTGCCAATATATCGATCAGGACGTGGGAGACAATGTACAATCATAGTCAGATTCAATTTCCAAACTGGCCAAAGACAAATTGATGATATGGAGTTATTTTCACATTCAAACGAAACGTTGCATTCCTTACGTGCCGCGATCCAAAGAAGGTAGAAATATTTTATTATTATGTCACAAATATTATAATTTAATGTTCATGGAAGTATGAGGTCTTTCTTATCAATAACTTTTTTTTTTCAGATTAAAATGTGCTACAGATAGTAATATAAAATTAGAACTCTATGTAAATAAATTAGAACTCTATGTAAATGGCGAATTATTAGATTCAAGTCACGATCGGAAAATATTATCTCAAATACCACTACGGGATAAGACTGTGATTGTTGCCAAAGTAAGTGATATACCTTTCAGACTCGGCATGTTTGTATTAGTAAATCTCGAAAAATAGCCAAGACCTAACTTCTATTTAGATGTTGTCAGGATAAACTGTTTAAATACAATAAAAAATCAAATTGTTATACCATATTTTTGTTTAAGATAAATATCAATTTAGCATTGTGAATGTAAAATTTAACAAGTATAATTACTATTGTCATTTCTAAAACATTAGCAACCTTTAAGGACTATGTAGTTAACATCGTGAACAACAACATTTGATCTAAGAGTTTAAACATAATAATTCAATACTTTGGACAAAAAACATTTTTCAAGTTTTTATACTGCTGTCATCAGTAGGAATTGGAGAAAGTAAATTGAATTGAGGTTTGAATACGTATATATTAATATGGACATTCCTGCGGAACTGATAAAAGTTTAAATTAAATAATGAGTAATATTCAGTTAGATATGAGAAATACTTTCCACACAAATCCCTTATCTATATAATTTTTCGAAAAGAATGTATGATACAAGTACAAATCAATCTATCTACTCCGTTCACTGGTCAATCGATCACGTCTACCTTCACTTGTAAATGAAATGAAAGGACTTGATGAAGTAAAATGTAATTATTGAAACTGGTAGAATGAATGTTGTTATTTGTGATGTCGGCTATTTAGTTGCTGGTGTTTTACCGGGAATCAACCCCAAAGATAGCTAAACCTTCAACTGGCGTGCAAGTCACTCGGCTTAGGTGAGTCTTTATACTTGATTTATCATAATCTTGGTAACTATGGTCTTATTCAGGTATATGATGGGCAAGTGTGCGGCAGTGGTGGCTGTGAATCTTCTAATGAGTCTAGTAGTGACTCAAGTACTTCCTCCCCACCTCTACCACCTACACCTGAGCATGCCTTACCTGGCGTAGTGAGTAACAGTTTTTTATTTTTTCTGTAGATATTAACATTATTAAGATGTCGATTAAAATGATTTTATATGGATTTCGATTTAATACCATTTTTTACCAATTTTGATATGGATATTTTGATTTGACGAATGGTAACGGTGAAGTATTGTTACTTCTTCCTTCTATATCGCAAAATTTTACGATTGATGCCCCTTTTTTTAGGTATAATGCATTTGTTTTTATTTTTAGTTATTTGCGCAAGGATCATGGTATATACCCTTTATTTTGGAATTAGAACATGTTGGTATCACAAAAGGGCATTCTCAACTAACAGAAGCTGCCCATCTCCTCTCTCAAATTTGTCCGGCACACAAACAAACTGTATGTAACATTTTCTATAATTAAACAATATATATAAAATTAAAAAAAAAAATATTTATTGTTGTTATTATTCAATAGGTCGAGAAATTAACTGAAGCTTTACTGTCTAGAGACGATTCGAAATTGAGGGATCTATTGTATGGACCTGCCCCACCTACAGTTGCTTATAATATTGAGGTATGAATCTTTCACTATTTATTATCTTCTCAAGTTTGTAAGTGTCCTTATGTATTCAAGTTTTCAGGTTTTATACAGCATGGTTATGCCCTCTTCAGATACTAGACTCGAACGATGTCGTAGTTTTCAACTTGCTTGTGTAAAGAAAGCACCTCTATTGGTTCAATGTTTGTCTGATAAGGAATTCTTAAATGGCGCTGCTGCGCATACAAGAAGGTAACATATTCTATTGTCATTTTGATTACAAATAACTACAATTCATCTGGACAAAGGTATCAATTTAATTATGTTTATTTTTACAGAGTTGGTTTTTTAGCACTGGTCAGATTAGCTAAACTGGCTTTATATACTTTGGGCCATTTATTTGAAATACTTGCTCCTGACGGTTCAGACATTTCGGTTGATAAGGATTTTAGGTAAGTTTATACTTTTCCGAAGTTTAATAATTATTACACTTCAGTCAAAGTAAATTTAAAATACCAAGTTCTATGTTTTGCTTTTAGGATGGATGTGACTATTTTGAGGGAAGCATTACAAACAGTTCCTAATCACAACTGCGAGCTGATTGTAAAAGCTATATCTGAGAAGTTGGCTAGTGTTCTTGGGGAACAGGTAAAAACCGTAAGAATATGTTTTACTTTATTTTCTATATTTTTTTTATATCTTAAATACGACGGTATGTTTACTATGTTTCTTTTTATTATTTTGTGCAGGTAGTTGCTAGTGGTGAAGATAGTGATTCAGTATCGTCTTTGGTTTGGTGGAGAGTTCCCACCACGGCAACAGTACGTGCGTTGTATTCGCTAGCGCACTCTGTAGCGCAGCCAACCGAAGTGAATGGCTTAGTACATCCCGATGACGTTACACGTACGTATACCTTTTACAAAAAAAGTTTTCTACACCCTTTTTTTTATGATGTGTCCTTAGTTGTATAATTAATTGGATATCAATCAACAGTTGTTCGTGAATGTATGGAAGTGGTAACCATATGCATGGCACTCGGAGGTGGACATCTAGATTCACTCCTGCATGAGAGTTGGTGGCAAGACACAGCTTTGTACCTGATGATCGACTGTCCTAGTCCTCAAGTGAGTGCAAAGAATTGTCTATCATATATGTAACGAGTAGCTTCCGCTCGCGTTGTCCCTAGGAAAATGGTTAGTGGGATAAAAGTATCCTATTATCTAAGTCAGCTAATACTCTGTCTGTATACTAAATTTCATCAAAATCCGTCGTTCAGTCGTTTTGGCGTGATTAACAAACAAACATCCAAACAAAGAAACTTTCGCAGTTATAATATTAATAGGATTAAAGGATCCGTGAACAATGTGTTTTGGCTGCAATAAGATGCTGTCGGTTTATTGAAGTGAGGGATCTTTGCTCTGCTTTCATTTATCAACTATACATATTATAGGATCGCCAAAAATCTCTGCAGATTGTAAATTGGGTTTTATCAACATATTTTTATTGTAATGTTTTTCTAAAAGTACTTGCGGTTTATTCCTTCTCTTAACAAACGAAATTGCTCGGTCCATATTCCAAAACAAATGTCATTTAATATCTGAATTATATAAGGGTAGAAATACACCCTCTTTATTTTAGGAAATAAGTTATTACGTAAATAAGATTAGTTTACTACTAATTACTAATAACCCATCGATCCATTAGTATGGCACTAGAGTGAAATTGATACTACACTAATTAAAAGGAAAATTTCTCTTAATCATCTATAGGTAGACAGAGATATGTAAGTGACATGTATTACAATAAAACTAACTTAATTGTCACAGTCACTGCTTTCATATGACCTTTTAAGCCTAATGGTTATTGGCTAATGTAAAATAATAAAAAAAACAAATTTAACATATTTTGATTAATTTCGCATTCACAATGCCATACTGAAAATTATTCTTAATACAAAATACGTAAAAAGTCCACTTGGTCCCTAGCACCCTGAGATGGGAATCAAACCCACGACCTTTCGTCAGGGCGACTGCTCTAACCACTAAGCTACCCAGGACCTAACAGGACTGACGAATATTTCAAGACCTTGTTACTTTTCGCTACTACATAGCGTATTCTCATCAATGTTCAGGCATTTGTAGGGACCAAGGGGTTTTTTTAAGCATTTTGTATTAAGAACAAATTTAACATGTTTTGAAAGTTAGTGAAACTGTTGTGATGTATTTGCACTTCAGCCCTTGTTAATAGGGCATCTAAGTTTAGATTTTATTGTGAATAGGTGCGAGTGTCATGTGCGGAACAGCTGCTAGCGATGTGCGCGTGGGGTGGGGGCGGGTGTGCACGGGCGGCGCTAGCGGCGCTAGGCGGGGCAGGCGCGGGGGCGGGGGCGGGTGGGGCTCGGCTACAGAAGCACGCGAGGCACGCGCAACAGTTCCTCCTGTTGTTGTGTCGGCTCGTAGCATTGGCCGGTTCTACGGAGCGCACGCTTGAGGACCTCGCCTACGAGGTTCGTAGCTACATCTATATCTGTCATGGATGTCTTCATTCACAATGCGCAAGTCATATTTTTTTGCAATACATATTGAATTATACACATTTTAAGAAATGGAAAGTAGTGATTACCTGTGGTTAAAGAAGAAACATTAAAAGATCAGTTAAAATAAAGCTATAGGTTGAGTGGCAGAGAATACCTAAGGCATTAAGTGCGCCTTTGTACATTAGTGCATGGAGGTATTTAATACTTAATAATAAATATATGAATCATTAATTGATGTAAAATTATCTATTTTTTTAGTTGTCAATATCATTACAGTTAATAGCTAATAAAATATATGTCTTTACGTTATGAAGTATTGTAGGTTTAGGTTAGAATAAATTCTAATTATTTCAGTTAGATACTAAACCAACAAAGTTTATAAATTTAATGTCATGTCAATGTGACAATGCAATAATGTCATATACTGTTGTTGGTATTGAAAATCTGGTGCAGATAATTTATAGATTGACTCTTTGCGTTTATCTGTTTATATAATTAGATGACTTTTAAGTTATTTTGTTGTCATACAAATTTTTTTTTATCGAATAGGTAGCGTGGTTACGCGCTGTTCGCGCCAATCCGGAAAAGTTGGACGACACGTTACTGGAAGGCCACCTGAATCTCACAAAAGAACTGTTTGCACATGTGCCTGCACAAGTGAAGTATCAATACGGGGCCCACCCGGACCATAAAGACTCTGGACTCATAAAGGTACCCTATAAACGTCATGCAGTTATAAGAATATGTATCATAATAATTATAATCATATACCTAAATGACTTGTTCATGTTGTAAGTATAGGATTATAACGTTTTTATATACTGTTATCGCGTGTATAGGACTCATAATCTTGAAAGAAAAATATAATATACCAATAGGATCACATTTATCTGTCAATCTAAGTGATCCTATTGGTGAAACTTACAAACATGAATATTTCATATTGGGATCACTTGATTTGAGAGGCGAATAAGAAAATCTAAAGTTTTATGGGAATCTCAAATATGTTCTTTATAAGTATAAATAACTTTGAAATTATAGAAAGACTATTTAAAAAAAAATATATATTTTTTATATTCAACTGTAAAAGATTTTAATGGATCAATTTTAATATTTCTATAGAACTCCTTACATGACCCATTGACCTATGTTTATCACATTGGAGCATTCGAGTTGTTGAGAGTGCACTTGTTATAATGAAAATATGGTTATCGTTTGGCAGGAAGTGACGACCGAGTTCTTATGGCCGTACTCGTGGGCGTGGTGCCGTATGGGAGGGGCAGGAAGTGGAAGCGTGAGTTCCGGCAGTGGTGGGGGTGAGGAAGGTGGTGGCGAGCCGGCGGCGCCTCTGTGCCGGACGCCCGGTGCCGCCGCCGCTGCCACTGATTTGTTGCTTGCTCTTGTACACGGCTGCGTACCCAACATGGCGGCCCTCGCGTACTTACTCGAGCTCATGTTCTACAGCGGTACGTTAGACTTACACAAGTTTACATGTATTTGGAATAGTAATGTTACGAATGTTGGATTGTCCACATTCGCAAATCCGAATATTTGTCTCCAGCATTCGCGAATGCGACTATATGATTTGGAAATGTAAGCATTCTTGTTATTTGTATTTGTCAAGTTTAACTGATAGTTGAAAGTGTTGAAGAGATATGTCTAATATTTTTTGTTACCTCTTAAAAAAAAGTTACGGTTAGACTATTTGAATAAAACTTGTATAAACCAATCACAATACTTGAATAAAACAATCGATTAATAATGAAATCATGGGTGTAATAATCAATATTTAAGAGCATTAGGCGAGGTAGAATACGTGTATATAATACATGACCCTCCTACGAGATTTATCAATGTTATGTTTATTTGCAGAAAAAAGCATGCCATTATCAGAATGGGATTACATGCCTTGTGTTGGCCCACGGCCGGTAGCGGGGTTAGTGGGACTGAAGAATGCGGGCGCTACTTGCTACATGAACTCAGTACTACAGCAGTTATATTGTGTACGCGCCGTACGAGATGCCCTTCTTACTGTACAAGGTAAAATAATAGCTTTAACAAACTTTCTACTCGTCTAACATTAAAGAAACCATAATTAGTTATAATTAAAATTAAATTCCGAATTTTTTTCGATAAATGTCTATCGCTGATTTATTTCTTGAATAAAAACATTACTTTCATTGCCTATTATTGTAATGTCACAGGTGCTGCAACAGACCCGAACGAAGATTTCTCTGGCGAACATCATATTGTAGAAAATAACACAGATGTAAGTTATAACTATTATAACACTTTATAATTCTTAGGTGAAACTGTAGTGTTTCTTTCACAACTTTATTGTTTCCAGAATAACAGTGACTACAACGTAACAATTTTAAAACAAGTGCAAGCTATATTTGCACATTTACACTATAGTAAACTGCAGTATTATGTTCCCAGAGGATTGTGGGCGCATTTTAGGTAAGAAAACTTTGCTAAATAACATTATTACTGTAAATAAAATTTATAAAAAGGTCTTCTGTAAATAAACACGAAACTTTTCAGACTTCAAGGTGAACCTGTTAATTTACGCGAACAACAAGATGCAGTAGAATTTTTTATGTCATTAGTAGAGTCATTAGATGAAGCTCTCAAGTCTCTAGGACAAGAGCAGCTTATGGCAAAAACAATGGGAGGCACATATTCAGATCAGAAAATCTGTAAAGGCTGCCCGCATAGGTAGGTTATATAATCATTGGTGACACGTATATTGAGTAGAATAAAGCACTTTTTACTCTGTAAATTATTTCCTTAGGTATTGTAAAGAGGAGCCTTTCAGTGTAGTTTCTTTGGACATAAGAAATATGTCTAGACTGCAGGAATCTCTAGAGGCTTACGTAAGGGGCGAGCTTTTGGAAGGGGCCGATGCTTACCACTGTGATAAGTGCAATAAGAAGGTATGACGTCACTAACACATGGTTAACTTTGGTTGATTGTGCTAACAAATGTATAGTTATATCTATTGGTACACATATTTTTGTTTTAGGTCGTAACGGTTAAACGCTTATGTCTAAACAAACTACCTCCAGTATTAGTTATACAGTTGAAAAGGTTCGAATATGACTTTGAAAAAGTGTGTGCAATAAAATTCAATGACTACTTTGAGTTCCCACGAGACTTGGACGTCGAGCCTTATACAGGTATTTTTATATTATGTAAATTATGTTATAAATTGTGTCTTAACTAACTGAAAACTAACAAAATTAACACATGGTGGCTTGTATTACATCTGTTTGTGCTTATTCACATAAACACAAAAAGGTTTGACCATGGAATGAGAGTTAAAGAGCTGGGTGTGCAGTCTCGGCATTGATATTGAACTGAACTTACCTTCATTGACTGAGTTTCACATTCGATCTTGCTAATTTGACAGTTGCAATCGGTACGTGCCTAATAAATAACAATATACTTTACAGTAGAAACTTGCTGTAATCGTTAAATTAAGATATAAGTTAGCGGTAAGATTGCGATTGCAAGCTGTCGAGACTGCAGCCCCTCGAAACTATTTTTAAAGATACCGCTTAACATCTGAATAACGTTAGTTGAATATTATTTAGCATGGGGATTAGCGCGAGCGGAAGGCGATGCGACGCTCTGGGAGGGCGGCGAAGAGAAAACGCCAGAGACTCATTACCAACTTAGTGGTATCGTCGTACACTCGGGCCAGGCTTCCGGCGGACACTATTACTCTTATGTGCTTCTCAGGTAACATTACGTGATATCATGTACTCACGCTATAATAAAAATAATAATATAGAAAATGAAAACACTATAACATAAAAATATATATTATGCTAAATTTATCAAACATCATTATTTCATAATTACGCGGTAAAGGATTAAATAGGTTTTTTATAGTGATTCGTATAATATATGAAACTTATATTAAAGATAAGATGATATTTAAAAGTAAAACGAAATTGAATTGTGAACTCTTCAAGGTCTAAAAAGTTGTAAATTGATTCGATAAAAGAACGTGTTTAATAGTTTTCCCATTAAATAGCGCGGTCGCTATATTGCTCTCAAAAATTACTATACAAAGTTTTGACGTAATAATAGTGCGGACAATATTGTATGGTCGTTTTGGCGTTGAATTTAAAATAATAAATTTCAATTATCTATTTTGAAGATTTTTTTAATGCATACTTCCATTTTAAAATATTTTTGAAGAATTATCCATAATCATATCGTGCCGAAAACACAAAAAAAAACATTCGTTGACGGCTGCAATGCGATATGCCGAGGCGCACCGCTTAAAATTAAACTGAAGTTGAGTACTGTCAAACAATGCTGCCACTTAATCGATATGCTCTTCAAGAGAGATTTTAACTGTATTATAATAACGTAAAATACCATGTTACTTCACACAGAGACAACGGCAGCGAATCAGGGCGGTGGGTGAAGCTAGATGACGGAGACGTTTCCGAGTGTGCGATGCACGATGACGAGGAGATGAAGGCGCAATGCTTTGGCGGTGAATACATGGGCGAGGTGAGACAGTTGATTTTCAATCTTATTGTCGATGTAATAACTGCGTTAGTATATGGATGATATGTTGCCAATTTTTAATTATTGAAATATTGTTTTTGCGTGAAGTGGTAATTTCTAATAACGTTCTAGGTGTTTGATCCGATGCTAAAGAGGGTACTGTATAAGCGTCAAAAGAGATGGTGGAATGCCTACATGCTGTTCTACACGAGAAAGGACACCATAGAAACGTCCAATCTCGAGCAGTCTATGAGGAATTTAACGCTTAAGTGAGTTTATTTTGTGTGTATTTGAGAAAATTAGAAAAATAAATTTTTAATCTATTGAATTAATCATTTCTTTTTTCAGAGAAAGTGCCATACCCAGGCCTATTTGGCTGTCAGTTCGTCGTAGTAATATAGCGTTTTCACATAATCAAGATCAATTTAGTTTAGAACATTTCAATTTCATGAAGAAATTGTGTTGTATGCGGCTTCAGGTCATACCAGGGTCTCAAAACGCTGTATGGGTATGATATTTCCATAGGCAATGTTGCGGTAATTAGTCAAAAGCATAATTTTATTTAAGTATACAATTATTGTTTCAGAGTCAAGAACACGAAGAAATGTCAATGTTGGCTGTGCAATTAGCTACAAAGTTTTTATTTCAAGTTGGCTTTCATACAAAGAAAACATTACGCGGGCCCGCGGCTGATTGGTATGTTTGCTAGTCAAAAAGATAATTTATATAACCATAGATGTAAGTATTTATTGACGAACTATGTTTCAGGCATGATATTTTATGCCATCATCTACGGTGTTCGCAGGCAGTTAGAGCGTGGTTTGCTTCTGAACTATTCAAGCATCCTCACAGGTATTAAAAAAAACATATTTACTGTGTTTTAAATAGCCTTAAATAGTTCATTGATGAATATAGTTTTTGATTAAAACAATGTTTTTGTTTTAGATTATGCGACTACCTTTTATCGTGTCCGTCAGCGGAGGTGCGACTAGTTTTTATGAAAATCATTGTTTTCTTAGCACATTTTTCAATCAAAGATCCTCCAGGTAAGTAATAAGTTTTTTATAATATTTATAGTTATCTTGTCTGATGTTTTCAAGTAGGTGTTGATATTAAAGTACTTTAAAGTAATTTTTTTTCCAATTAATTGTAGGCCTTACTTAATCTTAGTTCTAATAACTTAGAGAATCGGATTTTTATTAATATAAAAAATGCAGCTTTATAAAGAATTAGTTTGACTAAATATGGATATTTATTTAGATTTAACCAATTTAAACAGTGAACAACGGGTACGGATCATGGTGCAGCCGAGATGAAGCGACTTCGTTATCAGACCAGATCATTTGCAGCACGCGAGGACTTGCCGATCCGCCGTACGCGGATACGCACACTGTTCGACATCTGCCGTTATTATTCAACCTGTTTCATACGTACGCCTTATTGGGGCTCAGTGAACGGCATCAGCTGTTGCGGGTACGTCCTATAATAAACGATAATATTGTTCGTATAGAAAAAAAAAGTTGCATCTCAATGCAACTTAAGTCACACACATGTGATAATATCAAATACATATTATTTTTTCAGCTGAAAATTCTCGATGTCGTGTTAAGTGTTTGTATGGATGACTCGTCTTCATCTCTTGTAAAATATCAGTATCCAGAATCAGCAAAAATTCACCAGGTAATGATGCTGTATTTTATTTATTTTTCAATTCGTGATAGGAAAATATTGTATATTGAAGTTATTGTATGAGCTCAATAAACAATGATATTAATATGTTTCTTGGATTGAATGAACAACAGCTGTACTCCATGTAGAACACTGGAAAAATTAACTGAGCAACGAAAATAACTTATTATGCAGTATATTTTGTTATTTCTTGGTTTCTGCTCCATGTTCAATAGTTTCTAAACATTTATTATTCAGCCTCTGAAGTTTCTACGTAGTATTTAATTCTAAAATGTACACACCACTTCACCTCACGTTACCACAACGTGTCAAATTTCTGCAAATGGATAGTTCAACTACCCTTACTATCGTTATAATAACTACCCTAATACATTAAGGTTTAAAAACGATTTGGGGAAATTTGATAAATTAGTATTACCTGACGTGCTGTTGACTGTACTTTTGTTATTAATCTATAAATATAAATGTTCTAAATAATCTTTAACACTACTAATATGGTTTACATTAAAAGGTTTGTACATTAAAAAATACTTTAGGTGAACGTTATACATTTGATTTTTCGTAGGTGGTGTACGTATTGGTGCGGTGTTGCGACGTGAGCTCTCGCTGTCAGTCGGCGGGCGCGGCGGAGGGGGTGCAGCCGTTGCCGAATCCGTACGCGGATCCGCCCCCCTCCTCGTCTTCTGCCCCGCCCCTCGTACGGCCCCCGCTCTCCTCTACTGCCGCCGACGTACTATACACCAGGACTGGGTAATTATTATACTACGATAGTTACTACCGCGGCTTCGCCCGCGTGCTCCATAGGGAACTGTTTATTTGGATATCGATTCATATTATGACCAGAGGTCGGAATTAGGTAGAGTTATTTATGTACTTGCATCGAAATGTTGATATTAATGTGGACCTTCCCGGGATATCTAATGGACAATCTTGGACATCTTTGGACATCCGATGTCATTGATGTAAGTTTGGCAACGTCGTGCGTGCAGTAGTTTAAGTTGTGTAAAAGTAAATAACTTTTTATTTAAAAAATCACGGGATTTTTTTCTGCTCTTTAAAATTAATCTAGGGATTTGAGGCATATCCACTTTATTCTTTCGCTGTATGAAATCAGTGTAAGTACATGAATAACTCTACCTAATTCCGACCACTGATTATGACATAGATAGAATTACAATGACAAATAGGGATGACAACTAATTTTTATTTGATTGTCTATCCGGTAGATTGTTTAAAAATATTAAACACGTCGCCAACGTCTGCCCTCGCCTCCTTGGCGGTGTGCGAGCACGTTTAGACGACCGAAAACTTTCTTGCGGTAGCCGCGTTGCGAGAGTTTACTTGTTTTCCTACATATCAAATTCTAACTCTATTGACTAGACCGTAAGAATCAATTTTTTGGACTATTGTATCAATTTATAGAATGTTAGTGTATGGGGGTAGGTGGAGCTATGCAAATATTTGTTTCTCGTTTTGAATTATATCTGAACACAATAGTTTTTCGTGCCTTATTGCGGTAAATTTCCTATGACTTGAGACAAATAATTGATATTGAATCTACTAGAAATATGATATTTTATCAATGTAGCATTCACTCTTTACTTTGTTCTTTTTTTTTTCATATTTGTAATCGGAAAAATAATTTGCGTCGTATGAGTGGAATCTTATTTTACTACGACCATTTTAAAAATTTTGTATGATGTTAAGAAACTGCTCTTTCTCATAAATTAACTGGAAAAAAACATTGATTTTTGTAGTCAAGGTAATTATCACTTTTGATTGGTAAATAATGTGTGCTTATGCTTAAGGCGTTTACGCGGGACGGAATTTTTGGACAGAGCGTTACTTACAGCAAAATTAATTCAATTATTAAAATATATATCTTAGGACATACATGAAAAAGTTGACGGAAGAATGTTGCGGCTGCGAGGAGGGCATCAGATTAGTTCAGTTCCTGTGCTGGGAACAGGCGGAGTGGTCTAGAGTAGCACTCGCTGAGCTTCTGTGGCAGATGGCGTACGCTTACTGTCACGAGCTCAGACGACACGCGGACGCGCTCACTGCACTTTTGCTCATGGAGGACTCGTGGCATCATCACCGCATCCACAATGTCATCAAGGTATAATCCCCACAAAATGCTAATGCGCCTGGCCTCCATTTTAACGTTTACTGCTTATTTTAAATTACTTATTGAGTTTGGTTTTGTTGTGATCACAAACAATTTTTGTTATGTCTTTGTTGTTTGCGATTGTTATTGTTAAGTTGAACCTGACAGGGTCAGCGCGCGATATGGAATGGCGAACCATTACATACCAGCATGCCAGCTTTTTTAAGAAATGTTTATAAATTTATTTTTTTCTCAACATGCTATTGTTGAGAAAATAATAATAAAAATTCGCCTTCATTTTCTACTTCACATTATTTTCGTAGTGCATAATGATTTTTCTGCCCAAAATACTTCGCATGCGATTGGTTGGCGAACAATATATATTCGCATAGTTGGCATAATAATGAGTTAATAAAATAAACACAATAGAGTTGATGTTGTATAATTATAATGTGATTATTAATATCGTGCGACAGGGAGTTTCGGAGGAGCGGCCCGGCTTGTTGGAGACGGCAGCGCGTGCTCGCGGCCACTATCAGAAGCGCGCGTACGCGTGCGTCAAACTGTTGGTGGGCGTGATGTGCCGCGCCCCCGCCGCCGTGCGCGCCGTGCACGCGTCCTCGGACGCGAGGCGCAGGTGGCGACAGCTGCTCGCCTGGCTGCAGGACGAACTGGACCGCGTGAGTACATTACTGTGACGTCACAATGTTGGTGGGCCTGATGTGCACGCGTCCACAGACACAGACGCGAGGCACAGGTGGCGACCGCTGCTCGCCTGGCTGCAGGACGAACTGGACCGCGTGAGTACATTACTGTGACGTCACAATGTTGGTGGGCCTGATGTGCACGCGTCCACAGACACAGACGCGAGGCACAGGTGGCGACCGCTGCTCGCCTGGCTGCAGGGCGAACTGGACCGCGTGAGTACATTACTGTGACGTCACACTGTTGGTGGGCGTGCCGTGCACGCGTCCTCGGACGCGAGGCGCAGGTGGCGACAGCTGCTCGCCTGGCTGCAAGACGAACTGGACCGCGTGAGTACATTACTGTGACGTCACAATGTTGGTGGGCCTGATGTGCACGCGTCCACAGACACAGACGCGAGGCACAGGTGGCGACCGCTGCTCGCCTGGCTACAGGACGAACTGGACCGCGTGAGTACATTACTGTGACGTCACAATGTTGGTGGGTCTGATGTGCACGCGTCCACAGACACAGACGCGAGGCACAGGTGGCGACCGCCGCTCGCCTGGCTGCAGGACGAACTGGACCGCGTGAGTACATTACTGTGACGTCACAATGTTGGTGGGCCTGATGTGCACGCGTCCACAGACACAGACGCGAGGCACAGGTGGCGACCGCTGCTCGCCTGGCTGCAGGACGAACTGGACCGCGTGAGTACATTACTGTGACGTCACACTGTTGGTGGGCGTGATGTGCGCGCGTCCTCGGACGCGAGACGCGAGGCGCAGGTGGCGACAGCTGCTCGCCTGGCTGCAGGGCGAACTGGACCGAGTGAGTACATTACTGTGACGTCACACTTGGTGGGCGTGATGTGCACGCGTCCTCGGACGCGAGGCGCGAGGTGCAGGTGGCGACAGCTGCTCGCCTGGTTGCAGGACGAACTGGACCGCGTGAGTACTTTACTGTGACGTCACACTGTTGGTGGGCGCGATGTGCACGTGTCCTCGGACGCGAGACGCGAGGCGCAGGTGGCGACCGCTGCTCGCCTGGCTGCAGAGCGAACTGGACCGCGTGAGTACATTATTGTGACGTCACACTGTTGGTGGGCGCGATGTGCACGCCTCCTCGGACGCGAGACGCGAGGTGCAGGTGGCGACAGCTGCTCGCCTGGCTGCAGAGCGAACTGGACCGCGTGAGTACGTTACTATGACGTCACCACAGACTGGCGAACGTGATAATTGAGCGTTGTCGCACGTCAAGGATGGTGAGAACTGCTGATCGGGTGCAAGATGAATTAGATCGTGCGCGTGAGTATATCACTGATGACGGCGAACACGAGCAGATCGAATCGCGAGCGATAATCACTCAATGAAGATTATATCCGACAGTTGTGCGTCGTGGTAACAATAGCAATAGCTGCTGGGCTAGCTGTAAAAGGAACTGGACCATGTTAATACAATACACACTACTTTATGACATACGGTATGAAACGGTTAGTGTAGTATACCCAGCATTACACTCAAACCAAATAGAGCATGTTAAGCTAAATCCATTAATGACAAGTAGCATAATGACTGACATGTAAACTAATTAGTAACTTTGTTTCAGAAGTATGGGACTGGTGGTTACGGATCCTACGGCACCTGGTCTCCACCTGGCACTTCAAACGAAACTTCTAGTGGGTATTTCTTAGAACGAAGCAATTCAGCCAGAAAAACTCTCGAAAAGTAAGTCAGTTTATAAATTATGCAATAACTTCTATCACTTTATATTGTATTTGCTATCTGCCCGCAATTTCGTCACCGTGTATTCTATGATTTGCATACTCTTATCCCCCTTGGGGAATTAATATTTCAAAAACCTTTTCTAGTGAGTTCCTATGCCACAATAACTATTAGTGTGTGAAATTTCAGTTTGATTTGATCCAATACAGTTTGATCCAATAGTTAGAACTGTGCGTTTATAGATCAGCCAGAATTTCAACTATCTTAACGCCTTTAGTAGACCGACGCAATCATATGCAAATGCGAAACATTGCAAAACTATGTATGTAAATATGTGATTTTCGAATATTCATCAGAAATCGGGACAGGTGGCAACCCTGAATGTGCAACATATGCGTCTGTGTAACTTTTTTCGCAGTTGACTACGATACCGTACTGACGGACGACTACAAGGACGCAGCTATTTCATCGAACTAATAATAGAGAACCATTGACAACAACTGACAAGATTTCGCAAGTTTTACATTCGCATGCAATTGCGTCGGTGTACTAACGGCGAAAATATGCAAATGTGTTCCTAGCCATACTATACTAAATATATGAAACTGTGTTCATATTCGGGCATAAGATGCATCGAAAGTTACATTTTCGTTTCGTTTTCGAATCAAGAGGCGTAAAAGAGACCAAATAAACCTCTCCACTGCAGGGGCTCCAGCCTTCCATATGGACGTTTAGGTATAATGGGCATTAACCCTTCACGCTGGTGCAACGACTGCAAATGCAGTTAGAACCAACAGCTTAAAGTGCCTTTTGAAGCACGGAGTAGCTCGAGATACAAATTTTTTGCTCACCCATCCCGTGACCTTTACGAAAGTTGCTTAGCAACAACGATCACCAGCCGGGGTGCTTATCCACTACGCCATCGAGCTATTAATACATCATCATCATCAGTCCTATTACGTCTCCACTGCAGGGGCTCAGGCCTTGCATGTGGATGGTTAAGGAGGATGGGCCATTACTCTCCACGCTGGCCCAATGCTTGGAGATGTTAAAACGTCACAATGTTGTTCCCGTAGGGCGTATCAGTTGTGTCCCGAAGAGGAAGACGAAGAAGAGGAGGCGCGCGAGACTGCGGATGGTCCGTCGGGCAGCGAGCCTGCTGACGCCGCGTCCGAACCGGCGGACAACGACCCGCCGGACGACGACAGCGGCGAGGACGACGACCCCCCCGACGATCACGACGACGCGAACCGACAAGCGCGCCGCGTCGTATTCAAGCGACGCATGCGGCCTTGACTCCGCACCTTGTAGGCTACAAACCTTTTTGATGACGTACGGATGGTACAGCGCGTCACGTGAGTTGAACCGTGCGTATTATCTAAAGGCAAGATTTCACTTATAGTTTGATAAATTTTCATAAGACATAATAAGCAGCGTTTTTTTTTTTCTACACAAATTACTACAGAGTTTCTCGAGATATTATTTTGAGATGACACATCAATTACACGCGCGTGTATTGATTCGGTCATTTATTATTTCTATGCTTACTACTGGATTGTTCGGTACTGAAGGTAGGGGTGTAGACAATTTATTTAAATATTTTTATTTTATAGACATACGTGAAATGTATCTAAAAATTTATTAAAATAACGTCGTTAAAATCTAAAAATAAATTTCATTTCAAAATTTACCGCGAAAACGCCACGGCACTCTGAAACGAATATCGTTCTATGTACGCATAAGGTTGAATTCTCCTAAGTTCTGAGTAAGAAGGGCGTGACGTCACGCACTGTTGTCACGTGACAACGAGCATAAAATATTAGCTTTAACATAATTAGTTTAGGCAATATTACAAAATATAATAAACATAAAAAAGTGATTATCGGTAATTGGTAAAGACTTCCGTATTACTAAGTGTATTATTGCGAGCGAGCTAGCAGAATGTTTGATGTGCTGCAAAGATTTTAATCAATAAATCAACGCTTATATTTACCAATATTTGACTGATACAATATTCTCATTACTTGCATGTGTATTTTGTATACGTAATTTCAAGTTATTTAAGTGAGTAGCTCTGTTTGTTTCTTTACTTTCACAAAAAATGACATCTGCGAGGATATTACACAACCAGCAGATATTGGGCGCATAATATGCTATTAGAAAATATTGTTATTATTGCCGTCTCGTTTACTTTTTAACCCCTAGCAAGCGAGACGGCAACATGCCGACGCGCGCTCATACTGTGTCACAATTTTAGTTCTGAACAGCTTGTCTAGTAGTAAACATAAAAGTCTTCGGCAGTAGCACATTTTCGGGTCTCAATCGAAGTGCGGGGGTGAGATGCATCGCATCTTGAATAACGGGAATCGCTTGGTTCAACTTGCGTGCCGTGCATTATACATATCTTTAACGTTTATCACACGAGACTAGATCACCCATATATAGTCACAGGTGTTTATATACTATTCTAGTACAGATAAGTGAATTCATAAGAAAATACGTCACCTTCCTGACTTAACAAACTGTTGAGCTATTTTTGTTACTTTGGCACAAGATGGCGACCGTTATTTAGATAGACACTGGTTTGTTTAACTTGTGCTATTGATAACACTTTCTAGAATTGGATATATGGCACTGACTTTTCTTTAACTACTCAACAACCTACCTTCCCACTCCTGTTTTTTTTTTTAATTCAAAGTCAAAAAAAAAAATCATAATTCAAATTTTGTCGTTTGAACCTAAATTGATATAACTGGTGTCCTTGATTTTGCTTTATAAGTAGATCATTATAAAAATGACCCATTATTTCGAGATAGTTTTACTCCCTCAAATTTCACTTTCTCTGGATGAATAATGAGAGCCATTTATTGAATCGCGACTGATATCAATCTGGATAATTTCACGACTTACACAAGATTCCTCATTTTAGAGAATGGTCAGTCTTTCTACTCGCTTGATGAGCTATTTTTCAAGGTATGCATTTCTTATCCATGAAACGAGACGCCAGATAAATCAAACGAAAGAGGTTCAAGGTCATTTAAAAATATTATGCGTATTACTTTAATTGTTATTGAATCGTCGTTCTTTTGAACTTTATATTAGCATATAAAATTCTTTAATAGATAATAGTAAAGGGTAATTAATCATTCATAGTCATAACATGTTTGATTTGTTTATGTTTAACGAATCAACTGTGATGACAGTTATTAACTTGTAGATGCATATATATTTTTTTTACAAGATTGAGTAAAAATAATCACTACATAGTATAAAACAAAGTCGCTTTCTCTTTCCCTATATATAGTTTTTTATGTATAACACAAGACCACGCGGATCAAGCCGCTGCCGGAAAGCTAGTATTCAATAAATACTTTTATTCGCTTGGCAAATACTACATATACAAATATTTTCAGTTTCTTTATCACAGCCATTAGAAGCGGTTGTCGGTACATATGATCTTGAATAATGTTTTATGCTTTTCCAAACAATTGAGTGTTTTACCATTTGATAGTTTCGTGGATAAGTAAACCTCACGTTTAAATAAAACTGCACTGATACAAATGCTGAACCTCTGAGTAACATCATGTCTTTGATGGGACTTTAATTAATGGTCGAACTAAAAGTAATTTAATTTTGTTCCTCAAATTTAACCAATAGAGACTGCCGAGTCAACTAAAATAATAATTCTAAGAAGCCATTGATTTCACTTACGTTACATAAACACCATGTTATAGCCGTCCATTTTTATGACAGCACCATTTTTCCAACTCGGTCAATGCTAACTTTTGTTCAAAATACTGGGTAAATCTGGGTCTCGTTGTAATCCATAAAACATTTTATAAGACATTTTGTTCGTACGGCATTAAAAAGTTCGTAGTCGTTGCGATATTCTGAGTTCGTGGTACGTAGTTTTGTTCTGTGATGTTAACGACTAGTCGCCGGAGCGTGTCTGTCGCCTCCCGCGGTCGTTTATTTATTAAACTTAAAAGTTCCGCTTTAAAAGTACCATAGTATTTATTTTGTTGCAATTAAGTATTCTTTATTTCGTGTTCTGTTGTGAAATGCGTTCACCATTTACATGTTTAATGTTTTGTTGTAATGATATTAATATTATGTATAACATCCACGACGCTATAAGGTGCCATCTGGTTGCATTTAACACTCCGGTGGGACTAAAGTAACATTGGATATGTTAAATTGTCAAATAAATGCCAAAAAGTTTTATGAAAATTAACAAAACGAAGCTTTATTGAAGATGGATTTTATTGGCTTGGATGAGTTGTAGTTGGTGGCCGTAGTTCTATTCATTTGTAATTTTAAAACTTATTATTATGCATAGAATCTAAAAGAATGTATCATACTTTCTGCTATCTTTCGAAATATTTGTTTAGAATTAATTGTACTCGTTTCGTCTACTAAGCATTCTAGTGATGTTCTAGTAAGCGGTTACTTGTGCATTTTAACGAATAAACTTTGACTAATTAACTTTTAACGCTTATACTATACTATGCTGCGATAGTTTTTAATTTTCAAGTTTTTAACGGAAGATTCGCAAATCAAAAAGTGTTTGATTACAATTTCTAATGCTATAAACATATTGTAGTGTATCGCGAGTTTTAGATGTAAGTGGGCATATTACACAAAAATAATTGTACACTACAGGGAATGATAAATATTAACAGAAAGTGTATAGGTAGACTCACTAAATGCATTTCAAAACTAAGCAGCTAGCTAAGCATCTCTATGAAATATAAATAAATATTAACAATGAAATAATAACATTTTTAAGCAAAACATTGTTGTAATTCTATTATAAATAAAAGCTTAAGCTAAGTGGGTGCTATCTTAATTGTCATTTGAATGAGTCGGTACAGATTTTAATGATAAAATATTCAAATTAGAAAATTTCTACATCTGTAGTTACGATCATGAAGGATTTACCTCTGTATTATAACTTTTTGTAAATTACAACGAACATGAAAGGAAATATACTAATGAATTTACATTAATGTGTGTAACTGATAGCTTATTTCGTATACATATATACGAAGTAAATAATTATCACAAGCAGATATGCTAGTTGCGTTTTATATAGTATCCGTTTTGTAACTAATCTCAATAAGCTATAATAATTTCTGTAATATTTTATTTATGTTTACAATAACAATAAAAGATGAGTTAATATAATATGCATGGAGCAAAAACAATATCTATAACATTTACATAATGTGACGTACGGTTCTCCATAAGATGCATTCAAGTTGTAATTTAATTAAAACTTGAGCTTCTGAGAGCTTTTATGCATCTTCTCACAAGCGCTCTAAATGTTTAATTATTATATTTTTGTAATTCGTTCAATTGAACACGACATTCTTAAATTGGTGAAACTTTGTTATCTTCAATCACCTTTGCATGTCATGCTTTACCCTAAACTTGTGAACAAATAAATGAGCTCATAAAATTGATTGTACATATTTATTATGGATGATTATGGCCACAACAACAAATTTGGCCTAAAATTGACTAATCATAACAAACTTCATTTGGCTTATTTTGATAGGTATATGAACGATCTTAGATTTTAATTCAACAAAATGTAGATATAGGTATTAACAACTAGTCTAACAGAAAAATGTTGCCACTATGTCAATATACTGCTTTGTAAAATATGTTATTTATTTTTATATGTCTTAACGGTTGTATATTTTCCTTCTTCTTAGTGGTTAAAACGTTGTATCATCCAGGCTATCAGGCGATGCATTTTACGATTTTGTTGAACTGCTTTACTCTGTGTAACACTAACATTTAGTTATGCATTTCTCATAATTTATTGTAAGTGTTATTGCACCCTTAATAATATTATAGAAAATTAGGTCGTATAGACCTTGTGCCTTATTTACTTTAATTTGCTCAATTTGCTTGCACCTGATAGTCTGTACAGTGATCTATTGACAAGTTTTATTTTGACAATTTGAAAGAATTGTTTAAAATTGTATTTTGTTTAGGCTTGGCTAACAATTTTCATCAGTAGTTAATTTTTATTTTGATGTTTGCTTTAATAAAACAGGGAGATTAATCTTTATCTGATTTATACGCTGATTGTATTGTTAACTTATTACCAAAGATGGAGATATAGCGTGGGCGTTGTGTGATGGCCCTTTTTCTTAAAATAGCTTAGTATTGAAAATGTTTTGTATCTTTTGTAAAGTTCAAAAGTTATTTTGTTGAATGAAGATAAAATGTGATTGATCTTAGGCTTAGATAGGAAAATAGCAATGATGTTTATAAAGTGTAATGAAACTACCTATTACCCTGAGACCTTTAAGAGTATGAACAAACAAGCTGTTTTAGTTTCGGTTTCATGTATTAATAAAAACTAGTAAACATGTCTAGATATCTTTTTTTTAATCAGTGTGAGTTTTAAAAGCCTTTAAAATTAAGTTGTCATATCACAAAGCTGTTGAATGTCGCTAACGGCATTTGGGTGTAAAATTATTATTAATTCATAAATTATTATAAGGTCAGTTGATTTTGTATAACATTTCTATGGCAAATATATAACGAATGGCATTTGACATTTAAATAATGCTCATGAAGTAGCATTCGTACAGATATTATAATCAAGAAATAAATTCGAAAATTTTCCATTGTGTTTTATTTTATGTTCTTGAATTTGTCTATTTAATAAAAAAAGAAGTTCGATAGCTAAAACTAAGTTCGAAAATACAGATACTTACAGTGCTTACCGATTACGGCATCTCGCCTATACATTGAAAGAGGATATTTTCTTATTTTAGTCCGGTAAAAATAAATTTCGGACAAAAATACCGACCGAGCTTAATTTTAGTAGACCTGTGCATATCGGTAGAAACTAAGTGCTTAAAAATATATAGGTAAAAAGGACATTTCACTTCGAAATGGTTAGTTTATCAAAAATATAGCCCCGATAAAATTTGGTGATCATTGAATTATCTATAACAACGAAGGAGTTATGTTTATAAATTCTACATAATATGCGCCGCAACTCTCGCGTAACTTTTCGAATAGATATATCTTGTGAACAGTGTTTCTTTATAAATATTATTTTTGTAGATGGATAAGTGATCTACATAAATTTTTTCTGGGCTGTTTTCGAGAAAAATCCAAATTACTGAACTTTTTTATCTTTTTAATTACTATCAAGTAAAGGGCATCGTATTAAATTTAATTTGTCATCGATTAATTTATAAACAGGATACTACAAAACGTTTCTATCGCTTCGATCGATTATGACCAGTAATTTAAAAGTTAGGTTAGGCGATGATAATGTAGGGTACATTATTAACATAGTCATCGTCGTCAAAATCATAATTCTCCTTTTCGCTTATAGTAGTGTACGATAATTTCTTTCTTTGTTCTTAATATTTTGTTTATTTGGACTGTTTATTGACGATAAATGATTCGTCGAAAAACAGTCCAAACTTGATATTGCAAGCTATACATTTTATAACTGACCTCTGCCCCAGTAGTCGCTACTGATAAATCTCAACCGCAGAAACTGTTATCGTTGTCAGCTAAAAGTAGTAGTATATTATGAGCTGAAAGCTGCAGTCGTATTTAAGACAATGGACAAATTCATTAGCTTGAGGGATTTAGAAGATGCAGCCAAGGCGCTCTTGCCAAAACCAGCGCTAGATTACTACAGAAGTGGAGCCACAGATGAACAAACGTTGGCTGAAAACAAGCTAGCTTTTCAAAGGTATCCAAACATTACTTGTAATTTTAGATACATGAACCGATTGCATATTGAATTTGTAGAAGGAAATTCCCACGGATTTTTTTTTTCTAGACTGCGTATACGTCCTAAATGTCTTATGGGAATTACGGGATGTGATCTCCGTACTACTGTCCTAGGCCATGAAGTTTCCATGCCTGTGGGTATAGCTCCTTCAGCTATGCAGAAGATGGCACATCCTGATGGTGAACTCTCCAACGCTAAAGGTTATAAAGATATTTTCATTTGGTAAAAACAATAAGGCAAAGCTGAGACCGAATTCTTTATGTTTGACTTAAAGTGAGGAAAAACTAAAGGGTAACTGAAGAATTCGTAATTTTGGTATGTCGGTCATTAGAGTTGTGAAATATAAAACACCTGGACCAAGAAAATATTGTAGGTATGAAAAGAATTAGAAAACCAATAGGGTAGATAAGCCTGTTGTCGTACAATTAGTGGAATTGCCAACTTTGAGCATAAAAATATGAATGTTCCGCCAAGTCACTTGACTCCAAAAGTAAAAAAATAGTGGTAACTCCAAATACTTATAGTCTATTTTTAATAATTGTATAGTTTTTAATACATTTTTATATATTTAAATTTTAACCTGTAATTACCGATTTGACCAGTTTCCGTCCAAATTGACTGCCTTTAAAGCTCGTAAAGTGATGATTTTCAATAAAATACGAAAACATTTCTTTCATCAATTCTGTTAAATAATGTTTATGCAAAATTTGAAGTAAATCTGACCAAGGAATCACTTTATCGCGTACTACCTTATCCCCGTTTTTCACTTCCTTAGGGATAGAATTTCGGGAAATCCTTTCTAACTGGATGACTACGTCCTATAAAGAAGACAACAAGATTCAGGACTCTTAAGTTTAACGGTTTAGGTTGTGTGTTGATGTGTCAATCAGTCAATCAGGACAAAGCATTTTATATCTATAAATAAATCAGTTCGCATAGCAAACAAAAGACCATTAGTAGTAAATAACTTTTGTAACATGTGTATTTCAGCACTGGTCTTTATTTTTACATGATGACGATATTCTATGGTCTGCCTATTCAATGAAAATATTTTGAAGCTTTTTTTGTGATCATTCCTCTTTCTATGGGCTCCAAATTCCAATAAACTCATCAAGTTTTATATAAGTTTGAATTAAATGAAAAAGACGATCGGAAACTGGGAGCTCTTAAAGCTCAACATCCAATGTCCGACCAGCATAACTGTATATCATAATCAGGTTATAATAAAAATATTGGACTAGAATGGTCACTAAAACTCGCATTATGAAATGAGATTTAAAAAGAGCCATACATTATACAGACAACAAAGAATTCTTAATTGGACGTGCCTTCCCACTTATCGATCACCTCATTTAATAGTTTGATAATAAATTTACGTTAAAATCGAATTTGTTAAAGCTGGGTTAAAACTAGCTACAGAAACAATAAATAAACTAAAATGATCTAAGAATTATTAGAAACTTACTTTTAAAGTATTGCCACCTTACTATATTTTGCTAATATATGACGCGTGTGATGCTGTCCACTACAACCCCTCAGATTTATTAATTGGTTTTGGCTTGAAGCTTAATTTAATCGTACTAATGTGTGTATATGAGGGTAATCAGTGTATCCAGGTTGCCATGTGTTTAAGTTTTGGATAGTATATAATCCTGCAAATTGCTAATGCGCCTGGCCGCCATTTTGATGACGTAATTCCGTTCAAAAATCAGTACCGTTAACAAATAAACAATGGTTGACGATTACACTTATTGGGTTGGGTTATGTAGAGATCACACATCATTTTTGTTGGTTTTCGATTGTTATTGTTAAGTTTTGACTTGATATGGTTGACTAAAATAGCAATTGCTGCTATGATTTTCACAATCAGTAAAAAAAATGTATTTTCTATTTTCCCATTACAAAGTAAATGTATTTCTTTCATATTTTTTTTTTATTTTCCATATATTCAGTATTGACATATAAACTGATTATTTTTCAAAAATTCATGCAATAAATTAACAAACTAAAAGTTTATTATATTGAACAATTTTGCATTCACAATACTATACTGAAAAAATCGTCAGTCCTGTCCTGAGTAGCTCGGTGGTTAGAGCAGTCGTCCGGATTGCAAAAGATCATGGGCTGGAGTCCCATCTAAGAGTGCCAGGCACAAAGCAGATTTTAAAGCATTTTCAATTAAGAAAACTGAAAGTTATTAAATTATTATAAAAATATTTTGGGGATTATTCATAGACTTGTATTATATTTATATCTTGCCTTTTGTTCTATCTATAGGTACTTTCTTTTTTCATATGACGTCACGCGGATGTTATTTAGACAAGTTCCCAGCGCATTAGCAATTAACGGGACTCATACCAACATTACTGGTTGTTGATCCTTTTACAAAGAACCATTAAATGTTTGAAAATGGAATGTGGCGGTTATTTACCGCCACATTCCATTTTCAAAAGGGTATTCCCTTAATATAGTATGAAATGTAAAAGCTGATTCGAGTTAAGAGATAATGATTTGCACATAAAACTAGTTGTTTTGTTAGTACGTGAAATTTTTTTTGTTGGTCCAGTAGTTTCGGGGCCTATTCGTTGCAAACAAACGACCAAACCTTTTCTCTTTATAATATTAGTACCTATATGTAAAATTTATTTATTACAATGAAAAGTTTTAAGGGCAGTGTTATTTATTGTTCAAATATTTCCAAAATGTAATTTAGAGTTAATTTTTACTGCTAAAGCCAAGACAAGGTCTTTCTGTGTTCTGTGAGGTCTACCATTCATTACAGCTGCGCAGGCTGAACGAACAATATTTACTTTGAGTACTATAGCAACTAGCTCCATAGAAGAAGTCGCTTCGGCTGCACCAGAAGCAATTAAATGGTTCCAACTATATATTTACACGGACAGGTGTGTATTGTCGCCCTTTTAAACATTATCTTGGTTCAAAATTCAGCTTTTTAATGCTCTATTTTTTTTAACAGAGAAGTGACAAGGGATTTAGTTATGAGAGCGGAGAAAGCCGGGTTTAAGGCAATAGCTCTTACCGTTGACACACCCCTTTTTGGACTAAGAAGAGCAGATGTTAAAAATAAATTTACTTTACCTTCACATTTAAGGTAAATCTCGTAATAAAAATGTTTATACACTTTATTTATGTACTTATACAATTATCTATTTAACTATGTCACCGATATTTTATGAAATTCAGGTATTCCGTTCAAAACCTACGTAGTAGGTACAGAATACCAGGCATCCATCCAGGTAATGTATGAAATATGATGTATCCAATTCCTAAGTATATTCCTCGAATTTGTCAAGCTACGCTTGCAGTTTCTTTATAATCGCTTAATGTACAAAAAGACAGTCACACATGAGGCTCCCATTTTTTCTTTTTCAATACGGAACCCTTTAATTTTCCATTTTTTTTTTTATGAAATGTGTTAAAAAATTCACCGGCCCCATGTACCCCATTGTCTCATGTCGGGGTACATGGGGCCGGTGAATTTTTTAACACAATAATTTTTTGTAAATACAAAAGTAATCAAATAAAGTATTTTTTATTTCTTTCAGACTAGCCAATTTTGAAGGTCATTTATCCACGAAAATACACCAGACCAAGGAAGGCAGTAGTGGTTTAAATAATTATGTCGAAAGCTTATTTGACAAAACTTTAACTTGGGACTCCATGAAATGGTTAAAAAGGTAAGTCATTAAATTTACCATAACAAATGAGGCAATATATCATCGGACGTAACAGTAATGCCTGTTTTGACTAACCTAGAACAAAGCATATCTTAACTAGAAATCACTTAATGTGTAGATTTGTCGTTTTACCAAACCCTATAACGTTTAGTAATGCCTTACTAAGAACTTGCTTAGTGCGCAATGGCTACTGCGTGAATATGGATGTATTTTGTTGCAGCATAACGAAATTACCGATAATAGCAAAGGGTATACTCCGTGGTGACGATGCAGTGAAGGCGGCGCAGGCAGGCTGCTCCGCTATACTGGTGTCCAACCACGGCGCCAGGCAACTAGATGGGGTTCCAGCGACGGTAATGATAACTTGTTACGTCACAGAACACAGAAAGATATTCTGTGTTCTATGGACCCCGTTATTTCAAAATTAAACTGTATGTTTTTCAAAGTATGTTTTTTTCCCAAGAATGGGACATATCGCTCACTGAATAGTACAGTGGCACAACTCAAAAACCATAATTTCGAGAAACGCTCTCCGAAGTTATGAAATCATATAATATAATATATTATGAAATCAATTTTTTTAGCATAACAGTTAAATCATTTGTATTATATTATTACTGTTAAGTTTTTTATTTTTTCTTTTAATTATCTATGGGATGCCACCACAATGTTGTGGCGTTTTCTCGAAGTAATGGTTTTTGAGTTGTGCCACTGTACTATTCAGTGAGCGATATGGCAATACTTATATAGTTATTATTCATATTATCACGTAAGAGTTAGGGGGGAAGGGGGTCACCCATACCACAGATACATGTCATACCATACTTAGTTTTTCTTACAATGGTGGGTGGAAGGAGTCTTGATAGTTGTTTCTTATGTAAGAACAAAGCCCCGTAAAGTTAGTTCTGTTCATGATCATTTTACAATACAAGACTGCAGGATTAACGTAAACATTTTTCAGATTGAAGTGTTGCCTGAAATCGTAGACGCAGTGAAAAACTACAACGTGGAAGTGTATTTGGATGGGGGTGTGACGACTGGTACTGATGTCTATAAAGCTTTGGCGCTTGGAGCAAAAATGGTACTTATCTATATCTTATTTTAAGTTCCAACTTATAGGGCGCGTGATGAAACTTTGTTTGCGCAAAGCAGATCAACCAATTCCGCTGATGGCTGAACTTAAGATTTAAATTCATAATGAATCTTGTTTAATAACCTCTGCCTCAACATCTTTGTGCTGCTCACCCAATGGTTTGATACTTAAATTATTCTGATTAACCGACATTTGCCGCGGTTCGAAATTTAAAATTCTGTGCATGTAGATCGTTGCGCCCACATTAATTGTAGGTATCTTACTGTATCTTTAAACGCTTAAATTCTCATTATTTGTATGCATAAATAATGAGCTCTTTAAGCAGGGTATCAATATATATAATTATTTACAATCTACATATTGGTTCAATTGACATAATATAAAATTCATGCAACGATTATAAAAGTCGTTTATATTTAAAGAGACTGACAAACCCGTGGAACATAGAGCTTCCTCCTCTTCAATTCCGAAGTCTGTTAAAAATGCGAAATATCACTTATCGCTTTTTTACTTAGGTTTTCGTTGGACGACCAGCACTATGGGGACTGGCTGTCGGCGGACAAGCTGGTGTTCAGAGAATGCTCAACATATTACGCACTGAACTTGAATATACGTTTCAAATAGCAGGTATGTTTTATGTGTCGTATAACACAATATATCATATACACAACAGACATAGCTCACGTATTACTATTAAACATTTTAAGTACATTTAAATTATACATCACATAAATAGCTCAGATTTCAAGATAAGTAGCTAAAGGCCTCGTATTATAGGAATCATGATCAAAAAGAGACTATACTATATTAGCTATAAAGTAAAGATACTATATAAGCTACACCCAAGACAATATAGAATTCTCGACTGGAAATCGAGATCTCAGAGATAGATAGCGACACTTTGAAACCGCCGTGCAACTCATTCGGTTATGGATGTCATCGTTTTAAATAAGAAATATCGTAATTATATAACTATCTGAAATATATATTTTTCAGGTACTCCAACAGTGGCAGATATAACACGCGACATGGTCCGTCACCAATCTAGTTACAGTAAATTGTAATAAAAGACAGAGAACTTCCGAAATTCAATATATTATTTATTATTATAACGTTTAAACTAAGTTTCTTTTTCTGACAATATTAGGTATGAAATAGCATTTTACACGTTATACGAGGGTCAAACTGAAAGTTCTTAGAAAATCAAAAACTGATTACATTAGCCAGTTATTAGTTTTATTATATCTTTTCAAAATATTGTCCATTCACGTCAATACACCGCTGCATGCGATGGAACCACTGGGAAAAGCACTTTGCCCACTCGTCCTTAGGGGTCTCTTCAATGGCATCGCGATACGCAGCCACCGCTTCTTCAGCATTCATAAACCGCTTTCCTTTAAGTTTTTCTTTAATTTTTGGAAATAAATAAAAATCACAAGGCGCGAGGTCGGGGCTATACGGCGGGTGACCCAGTAATTCAACGTTTGATGTCGCCAAATAGTCGATCGTTCGCTTGGCGGTGTGCGACGAGGCGTTGTCGTGGTGAAGGAGGATCCTACTGCGAGGTCGTTTCTCTCGAACTTTTTCCAAGACAAGTGGCAAACAATTGGTAGTGTACCATTCTGCAGAAACTGTTTTTTGATCCTCTAACACAATTGTTGCAAAATGACCTATCCTTCCCTTCATTTTAAAGAACGAGGCCACCATTTTTTTTCCCGCACTTCGATCTCTATTCACTTTAGTTGGCAACTCCTCGAAAGGAAACACCCACTGAGCAGATTGTCTTTTGGTTTTAGGATCATAACAGTAAATCCAGCTTTCGTCACCTGTTAGTATGTCGAACACAGCATTTGAGTCACCTCCGTTAAATCTTTCAATCATTTTACGACACCAATCCACACGATGGAGTTTTTGAGCCTCAGTCAAATTATGAGGTATCCACCGGGCGCAAAGCTTCCTGACCGCTAAATGTTCGTGGAGGATTTTGTGCACTTGACTCATACCGATGCCTAAGCTTGTCCGAATCTGTTGATAGGTCACTCTTTTGTCAGTCTCTATCATACGCCGCACAACACAGATGTTATCTTCAGTCGTCGCCGTAGAAGGCCGTCCCTCACGTAAATCATCAGTGAGATTAGTGCGACCACGTTTAAACTCATTAAACCAGTTGTAAACAGTCGCACGAGATGGGGCTTCATCGTGAAAGGCCAATCGTAGTCTATCATAACTTTCTTGTTGACTTAAATGACATCGAAAGTCATAAAAAATCATTGCACGAAAATTTTCTCGTGTTAAATTCATGATGACGTGACACAGACAATTTTCAATTTGCCGCCAAATCGTAAAACAAATGACAAATGAATGAAATATATACTCAGTAATATTGGCAAAGAGTTATATTTTCAAATTTTAGAATTATTTTTTTATTATATTGTTTATAAGTGGCCAGTTCTAAGAACTTTCAGTTTGACCCTCGTAAAGCGTTAGTAACTTAATTTAAAAATTACATAGCCCAAAAGGATATTAAAACTATTAAACAGAAAATATAATTACCGTAACGCCGCATTCATACTGGGGTGCTATGCTCCTAATTAAAATGCGGTAGTTCTTGAGGCTTAACGTATGTATGTCTGTTACTCTTTCACGCAAAAAAGAGCAGATAATGATGAAATTTCGTATATGGAACCATCTTAGCCTGAATTAATTTATAAGGTGCTTTTTATCCCACTAAAGGGTTTCCTAGGAACCACCCTGGCGAAACCGCTACGGATAGGGTTACCAAATGAAAAATGAAAAATCTGGAAAAAGGCCTGATTTCCATTGAAAATCCTGAGATTTTTGCAGCTTGAAATGTTTCTCTCAAACGTACTTAACAATTTAAAAAGTCAAATTATTATAGTTTTTATACACTGCGAATCTCGGGGATCATGCTTACTCGTTGCACATTGCAAAGTTAGGAAGATGGTTTTAGTTTTTATAACTTTTTATTAAAGAAATCATTAAAATGTACTATATTTTATTGAACATTCTAAAAATCCTGATATATCCTGAGTTCGCCTCCCCCCCCTCCTTATATATTTATTGTATTCTCTTTTTAGTATTTGTTGTTATAGCGACAATAGAAATACATTGTCTAGGTCTTTATAAATCTGTCATCACTCATCACGCTATATCTAATGAAACGTGGAAGCTAGACAGAATTTTTTACGGATACTAAATGTACAAATGCAGTTATACAAATACATAGAACAGATATAAATACTAAAGACAGAATAAAATTAATATTTTAAGGGGGCTACCATACTCTGAAATTTATCGAAAGTGAAATATTTGTAAAAACAATTAAAATTATTTCTTACGGCTGTTTGAGTGGATTACCTGAACACTGATGAAAATACGCTCTGTAGTAGCGAAAAACTAACAAGTGCTGGAAAAAATCATCAGTACTGTTAGGACCTGGGTAGTTCAGTGGCTAGAGCAGTCGCCCGGATTGTGCAGACATGAGTTCGAGTCCCGTCTCAGAGTGCCAGGGACAAAGTGGATTTTTTAAGCTATTTTTAATATTAAGAATATTTTTAGCATAGCATTGTAAATGCAAAAGTGATCAAATTTAATAAACCTTTTCTAAATACATGGGTGTTATTTCAACAAGGTTCCAGCGCATTATCAATTTACGGAACTTATAATCAACAGCAATAGTCGTCCAATACAATGGCGGGTGGTTAATACGGAATATATTCTATTTACACGTCTGGGCTCTAATTCTGCTAAAGTGGCGTAATTATAGCCAGTTAATTTCTCCTAAGACTCCTAAGTTTAGCGAAAATGGGCATGATGAATATAGGATGCGGGATTGGAAGTCCTAGTTATCTATTTCACAATATTTATGTAACAATAATATATACACGTCATGTTTAACTGGGAAGGTAGGTATCGTATGTTAATCTTATCTTTAATTTTTAACAAAGATAATAACAATATAGATTGACATCAGGCAGTTGTTGATGTTTTATAAAACGTATTTGTTTTTTTTTTAAATGATATGCTAGCTACATAGATAAGACAGATAATAATCGATATTAGAATAATTTGGTAACACTTTAACTGCATTTCCTTTAAATCAATATGTATATGAGGGAGTATTTAAAACAAAAACATTAGTTCCCGAAATCAAACTAGATAAAGACAACCCTTCCGGCTTTAATTCTGCTTAGTGCCATAAATATAGCGAGTTCATTTTATTTCAATAAGTCTTTTTGATACAGTTCTTGTTACTTGATGACCATTGATTTGGGAAAAAGACATTTAGTGAAGACAAATGCGTTGATTTACTAAGTGCGTAATAATATTGGACATTAACATAGCAGATTGAGGCTCTGCTATGTATGTCATCTTGTGCGGGCAACCGTGCCTCTCCAATTACGTACAATGGTTAATGAGGCCCTGTTATGTATATCGTCTTGAGCGGGCAATCGTGCCTCCCAAATTCGGAAAATGGTTATCGAGGCCCTGTTATGTATATCGTCTTGTGCGGGCAATTTCAGACGATGGTTGTCGTACATACATTTAAAGACATGACATTTATAGATTGTCCACGTCATTAATTTAGTGACGTAACTGCACTTGAGGTATAGGAGATTGACGCACGTTTTAACTAACCTAGAACGAGCCCAGATAGCAATTTAAACTTGTTTCTGACTTGCAACAAGTTTGATACATCAAAAAAAAGACATACTTCAAGTTTGCCATCACAACTGCTAGTTTCAGCTACTTTCTGACATGTTCAGTGTGTACCTGGGAAAATTATTATTACTACTAACGTAGTAGTAATGATAATTTTCCTAGGTACTGACTCAAATATTACTTTAAGTTTACTAAATTTATATTAATCTTTTGATCATTCAAAACTTTTGGTCCAAAAGCGACTTTAAACTCAGACCACAGCACAGAGCCTAGCCTGGGAGCCAAAGTGATTATCTGGAACGGTTGGTTTCGAATCCCATATTAAGATCACATTAAACGGCATATTACTTATACAATCTAATAATATAAACTGGTACCGCGATGCATTAAATGACTTAGAACTATTAGGGCCCTATGAAGATGATGGGTGTGTTACAAATAAGTATCTTTGTCATAACAATATTCAAGCAATATTGTCGCAATCTTGAAACTTCATATTTAACATAACAATATTGCAGCGACATTGTCACAAACGTGCCTCGCATATTTGACGCAGCAATTTAGAATCAAAGAAATATCAAACTTTCCCCGAGTTAGCATGCTATCTGGGAGGCATAGCTTAACTAGAACGTAAAGACACAATAACAAAAAATATCCAGTTAAACATGACGTGTATTGTATATTATTGTTACGTGAATTATACAATATTGAGAATTAGATAACTAGGGCTTCCAATCCCGAATCTTATATTCCTAATGCTCATTTTCGCTAAACTTAGGAGTCACCCAAATCTGGCACCTCTGAGTACTGTCAAGCGTGAAATCGTTTCACCATTGACAAGGAGATACCTAATGACTTTGGGCAACGTTTAAAGTTAGGACATGCATCGTGCGGCACCTAGCACTGAGCATATGCCTTGGCGTAATGTGACATATACATTTGCTCTTTGGTCATAATGGATGTGTCAAGGGATAAAAGGAATTTAGTAACTTGGAATCAAGTAGTTTTAATAATAAGGGTTAAAGTATGAAATTACCGAACTGTACTGAAAATCATAATTGTTGTTTTTTAATTTTTAACTAATTTAATCAAAATAGTTACCATTATTATCTATACATTGCTGCCATATAATAGGAAGGTCATTTAAGCCTTTGCGATAGAACACTGAGGATCTAGACTGCACAAACTGTGTGAAATCATTTTAGACTGCCTCCTGGGAAGAAAACTTCTTGTCACGTAGATAACTGTCCAAATCACGAAAAAAATGGTACTCCGTTGGAGCAAATTAGAGCGAATACGGAGTATGATGAATGGTTTCTAACTGTAGTTCCAAACGGGTCAAAACGGTTTCTCGTGCTGTATGAGGTCTCGTGTTGTCATG